AAGAAGAAGAAGAAGAAGAAGAAGAAGGTAGTATAGCAGCTTCCCACCTTTCTTCCTAAACTTTGTCTACAGAATGTCTCAGACTCAATCCTTGTTATCTCCAGGTAGGGCTAGTAATTGACCAAACTCTATCTGAAACAACTTCAAAGGAGATGATGAAGGCATTGAAAGAGTTCAAGATGTTCTATACCTTGGCTCAGTTTTTAATCAGAATGAAGACTCCAGTAGAGACATCAGAAGAAGCCTAGGGATTAGAAGGACAGCTCTGGAGGAACTAGACAAGATCCTCAAGTGTAATGATATATCATTGAATACTTAAGTGAAAATTATCTATGCTATCATATTTCCAGTTTCTATGTGTGGTTGTGAAAGCTGGACAGTGAAAAAAGCTAATAAGAAGGGAATCACCTCATTTGAAATGTGATGCTAGAGAAGATTTCTACAGGTAGCATGGACTTCTAAAGACAAATAAATGAGTCCCAGAGCAAATTAAGTCTGAGCTAGAAGACAAGATGATTAGATTGAAACTATTGTATTTTGGACATATCATGAGAAGACATGACTCATTAGAAAAGACAGAAATGCTTGGCAAGCTAGAAGACAGTAGGAAAAGAGGGAGATGGCATTCTAGATGAATAGACTCAATCTAGGAATCTATCACCCTAAATCGGCAAGATTTGAACAGGCCTGATGATGATAGGGGCACTTGGAGGTCTGTCATTCATGAGGTTGCCAAAATCAAAGTCAACTTGATGACAATTAACAATTTGATATTCAGGAGAATTTATTCCAGTCAGTGTCAACTATCCTGAGCTACAAGAACCAGATGTCAATATAGACTCCTACCTTTTTTCTGAGAATTTATATGCAGGAAGTCCATGCTCAATCTTTGGCATTTCCGTGAAGGACAAGATTTAGTCTGATTGCTGTTGGAAACTGAAAAGCTGCTATCAGTCAATGTCTACATTACTGAATTAGATAGACCTAAGTTCCAATGCAATATAAGGCTGCTTCCTGAGTGTCTTTGCATTCTTTGTATGCTACAGGTCCCAGATCCAATCCCTAGCATCTTCAGATAAAAAGTGATGGGAAAGATCTCTCTATGTTTGAAAAGAGACTCTTCATAACTCCTGCTCAGAGTTGATGGAGACACTGGTCTCAATCTAACATGCCCTTATGCGAATGCGCACCCATTTAATTTATTGCCCATGCTTAGGAACCTTCACAAGAACTTTGTTTCCTTTTTTAAATTAAGAGAATAACAGTAGGGTACATCCAGTGTTGCCCAGATACAGATACATTCAGTGCCACCTAGTGACTAACATCACTATCCACACAATGATCCACAATGGTAGATTTGAGAAAAAACTGAGGTTGGAGCAGGCCAAGTTAGGGTGATTGCAAACTATATGTGTAGCATGTTTTTTCTGCTTGGTTGTGGGCTGTGTGTTACAGAAAAAATGTGTGATATACAGGTTAGAGGTGTGTAGAGCTGGAGCAAATAATATGTGTCCCTCCAGAAGTTGTCAGACTGCAGCTCCCATCAGTCATAGCCAACATAACCCAAACAAGAGGCAAAAGAGGACCACAGATCCCAGGCTGCAAAATTCCCTCCAGCGGAGGTTCATATATTCCCTTTTCTCCTTTCCTCCGCTGTCAAACAAAAACCTTTTAATTCAGGCAGGTCTTTGGCTTGCAATTCATGTGGCAAATAGAGATTTTAATGGGGTTGTGCTATGCTTTAATTACATTTTTATATTGCTTTAACTTTGTGTTTTTAACCAAACTGATGCCTATTTATTTATTTTTTTTAACCTAGATAGAGATAGAGATAGAGACAGAGACAGAGATAGCGATAGATTTTTTTGCTGCTGTTGTGTGCGTCCAAGTCATTTCCAACTTATGGTGACCCTGAGGCAAACTTATCATGGGGTTTTCTTGGCAAGATTTGTTCAGAGGAGGTTTTGCCATTGCCTTCGCCTGAGGTTGAGAACATGTCACTTGCCTAAGGTCACCAAATGAGTTTCATGGCTGAGCTGTATATATATGTGTGTGTGTGTGTATGGATAGATAGCTAGATGGATGGATAGAATTGTTTGCAAACTTCCTTAGAAAGGAAGGGGGATAATAATTAACCAACTAATTAACTAGTTAGTTGAATTTTATCCCACATTTAAAAACAGCCAATTAATTAATTAATTAATTAATTAAAGTATGTTGAGGCTCATACAGTTTGTTGCAATGAGTCTGATCTGCAAAACTCAGCAGCCATAAGGAAAATCAGCAGAGAGCATGGATGTGCAAGAGGGCCAAGTCTGAACATTTCAGTCTGTGCATGAACAGTCATCTCTGAGTTAACCTGCAAGGCAAGTTTCTTCCAGGGTACATTCTCAGGTAAAAGAGGCCATGCAACCTTCTCAAATCAAATCAAATCAAATCAAATCAGCAGACTCAAAGCAGGACACTTTAGATCCCTTCCCAAGTTTGCCCATGACTCACTGGAACACCTTGGGGCCAGCTCCTTTTTATCCCTTTTGCCCTGGCCAGATAATATCGGAGCCTCATGGCCTTGGCAGTGAGCATGCAGAGAATTCAGCCACAAAAGTTGCTCCAAGGTCACACGTTATTACGCAAGCTTGCCTTCCCCTTTCTCCCTGATCTTCCCCACCTTAAAATTACCGAAAGCAGCTCCAGTGATTTTTCTTCAGATCGCTAGGCTCGAAGTACTTCTTTTGTGTTTCTGCTCTCTGAAAATGCGCTGCTTGATGATAAGCTCCATACATTTTAGAGATTAAAATTAAGATTGGCATCCTTGGAAAACTTGCACCGCCAAGAGCCTACATCAAGGACACATCATCTAAAATCTCAGATGTGTAATTACCGTATATACTCAAGTAAGTACCATATATACTCAACTACAAGCTGATCTCATGCATAAGTCGAGGGCAAGTTTTGGGGCCAAAATTATGGGTTTTGATATGATATGAACCCATGAGAACCAGTATTGCATAGTGGTTTGAGTGTTGGACTGCAACTCTGGAGAGCCCAGGGTTCAAATCCCTGCTCGGCCATGAAACCCACTGGATGATCTTGGGCAAGTCACACTCTCTCAGACTCTTGCCAAGCAAACCCTGTAATAGGTTTACCTTAGGGTTACCATAAGTTGGAAACACCTTGAAGGCATGCAACAACAACAGCAACAACATGGATAGGTCAAGAGTAGATCAGGGTTCGATTCCCTGCTCAAGCATAAAAACCCACTGGGTATCCTTGGGCAAGTCACACTCTCTCAGCCTCAAAGGATGGCAATGGCAAACCCCCTCTGAAGAAATTTGCTAAGAAAATCCAATGATAGATTCACCTTAGTTTTGCCAAAAGTCAGAAATGACTTGGAGGCAAACAACAGCAGCAACCACAAAAACTTAGGAACATGTAAAATTTAAAACGCAATTAAACATATTAAAGCCATTAATTTAAATCTGTTTTAAAATTATTAAAATAGCCCAGTTTAAAGACCTGCATCATACAGTTAACGCTCAAATTTGTGAGTAAACAAAAATGTCTTTGCCTGCTAGTGGAAAGAGAGCAGAAAGGCTTC